TGATTTGTTCGCCTATTTTTGCCGTTCGTCGCTTACATCCCATGCAGTTCCTCTCACAATCTCGGGATTTCTTCTCTGTTATGAATTATCCAATATCTTTCCGATAACAGTGATAATATATGATTTGTTCCAGCTACATGTTTACCCAAGTCATGATACTTCTTTACAATAAGTTCAGTGACTGGATGCTTTCTAGGCAATATGATTGGGTATCTGACGTCATGTGGCAAGGCTTCAACTAAACTTAAACGTCCTGTCATGCGCAATACTCCGTCTTCGTCTACTGTAGGTGTTAATGTACTCAATACACTGTTAGATCCAACAATACCATTTTCCTTTAAGTTCCTTATGTCACTTGGGAATGATTCTTGTTGCGCTTTTCGTATTATGCTCAGTTCCGCATACTGGATCTCTTTATGCTCCAACCGCCGATAGACCCTGTAATTTTTGTTGGATCGACAATTTGTTATGAACCTATGAACATAAGCTGCTATTCTAATCAGTCTAGACCAACTTGAATACCGTTTTGGATCCAGTCTCCAATCATCATCTATGTTTAATGGCCCAACTTGGTTTAAGAAGGAACGCACATATTTTCTTTGTTCGGTAACGCTTCCACCTTGCTCTATTTTGTTTACTGGCCAACGTTCTTCACACTCCATTAAGAATTCTGGTCCATTCCACCACATTTTATTAACTTTCAAACTCTCAACTGTAGTACCTCTTGAGGCAACGTCGGCGGGATTGGACTTCGTTGGTACGTGACGCCACTGGTTTGGGTTGGTCTTCTGTTGTATCTCGCCTATCCTATTTGCCACAAAGGGCTTGAAAGATCTACTACGACCTCGTACCCACCAGAGTACATCCATACTGTCTCTCCAAAATGTGACCTCCTTATATCGTAATTCAATACGGTTACAATCGATATAGTAAGTTGTAGCCCTAACATAGCTGCCATTAATTCTAATCTGGGGATGCTCATGGATTTTAGTAAAGCTACTCTGGTTTTTGATGCTCTCAATCGCACTGTCTTCTGTTCTTCTGTTCACCATCAGAGCTTCTTAAATATACAATTGCTGCATACGCATCGTTTGAAGCATCAACGAAAGTGTGAATTTTTTTATCTTTGTCAGTAGTAAATTTTATACATCTTGGAACTTCTAATTTCTGTAGATTTTGTAAACCACTCAACCAGTCCGCTACACCGTTTGCTACATTTTGTGGTACAAGTTCATCCCAAGATACTCCCAGTGTCCAGAGCTCCTGGAGCATTATCTTTGCATAAATAATCACTGGTGATATAAAACCAAGCGGATCAAACAATGTCGCGATTTTACTTTAAATATTTCTCTTTGTCATGTTTTCTATAGACCCCCCTGGTCCTCTGAAAACAAATACATCACTTTCAGCTTTCCACATTAATCCTAATGTTTTTACTGATGGCAATTCACT